ACCCCCCCCCCCCCCCTCCCACAAAACACCCACAAACGAACAAACACTTACACAAACAAACAAACAAACAAAGAACAAACTGTACATACAATACAGTTCTCCTCTCACCTCGTCATTGTTGGCTCCGCGGAAGTTGTGAACGGCCTTGACATGTTTGGGCTGTAGGCCCCCGCCTTCCGCCATGGCCCTGCCCGGACCGTGCGGGAACTTCGTCTGCGGACGGGGGGTCGCCGGGATCTCCACCTGGGGTCAGAAAGTTTGTTTTTGTTTTGTTTTGTTGTCGGTTTGTTTTGTTGTTGTTGTTGTTTGTTTGTTGTTGTTGTTTTTTTGCAGCTTGAGTTTTAAAGTTGACAAAGAGTCATTTTGATAAAGGGTTAGATCTATTTTGTTAAAGCGTTTTCCGGAACTTGCAACACAATTATGCCATATATGTCGAAAATTATTAGACGTGTTAGTGGATAGTAAAATATATACACAAAAAGGGGGAAAAAAGGAAAAGAAAAAAAGAGAAGAAAAAATAGAAAGGAAAAGAAATAAGGGCGATAATGATAAACGTTTGGTTGAAAGAAAAGTTTTAAAGAGTAAGCAACACCAGAACACCCGCCATAACCACCAACTTTTCAGTTTGAGTAAAGAGAAGCACATAGACACAATAACGGTCATATAGTGCATGGACGATGCGAGACGTAATAATAAACACATAATCAATAGAGAGAACGAAAAGATTTGCTCATAATATATTATCATAAGTCTATTTCTTACATCTCGATTAATAGAGCTCACCTCGACGCTCAACGGCAACATCGGATGAAAAAGATGTTTTACGCAATCATTGAAACAACAAATGTAATTTAAAGGTTTAAACACGAAAAAAAGCTGGTAGTTTTAATCAAGAGTACAGACAAGAACATCCACACGATATTTAGTCATTTCATGCTACAAATTGTGATGATCTTAAAATATGTATCCGATCAAAAGGTGTGATTTCGCCGCAACTACCTTTCAACCACCCAGAAGAGTGTGGAAATCTCTTCACCTTGGCATGGAAGACAACAACCGTCTTACCTGTAGGTTTTCTATCGGCTCATAGTCGTGCTCGGGGCTCTCGCTCTTACATCTCAACCCGTTGGTCAACCTCGCCTGGGAGGGGCTTAGCGTGCGCTTGTGGGAGGGGCTTAGCGTGCGTTTGTGGGCGTGGCTATCGAGTCGTTGACGACGGCCTGGCGAGTGGCTCTCCGATCTTGTTGGGTGGGTGGGGGTGCGACGATCCGAACGGCCCGCGTGACCTCCCGCTGGTTGGCTGTATTCTTGCACGTGACGTCGGTTAGGGGAGTGGCTTTCCGATCGTGCTGACGCTGTGTAGGTGGGGCTAGGGGAGGGCTCCGATTTGGGGCTAACGGAGCGGAGTTCAGAGATAAGAACTGACAGGTCAGGCACACGTGTGATTGGGTCTGGGACTCGGGTGATAGGAATAGAGACTGGTTGCTGCCGGGGGGAGGAGGAGAGAAGAGCGCTCTGGTCAGAGCTGGCTGGTGATTGGCTGAGTTGGTCTGAGGAGGCTTGAGATTGGCTCTGCTGGTCTGGGGCAAACTTGTTACTTTTGCTCGCCCACTGAGGTTTTTCCTTCACGGCAGGCTTCCACCGACTCTGAACAGGTTTCGGCTGCTGTGACGTCGATGACTTAGAGGTAGGAACGTCGTGTTGTTGTGTGACTAAACTGTCCGCTGTGTTGTTATCATCACCGACTGGTGGCCACCTATTTCTCAGCTTCTGGAGTGAGCTCTGGCTGGAGGGTGACGGTGACGACTTACTTATGACCGAGTATGTTGCGTCTCTGACAGCAGGTCTACCGCTACACTGAACAGGGGCTGGTCCTGATCCTGGGAACGGAGAGGTGACGGCGGCGGTGGTGTTAGGATGACGACCTGTGCTCGGGGAGCCAGGAACGTATTCTCTGTCCGAAGACGGGGGTGGCGAGTCGTAGTCACTGCTGTCGAATAGACGCCGCGGTAAGGGGGGTCCGGGACTTGCTGCTCCAGCTGACGTCTGCTTCCTCAACGGCGCCTGGGACACAGGGATGTTGCTGGGCTCCTGGTAGTCCGGCTCTTCCTCCTCGTCCTCTGGGCGGGCCGTGGGTCGAGGGTGGTGGTGCTGGAGGCTGTGTGCGCTGGAGCCCACCTGGTGAAACCGTTGCTCCACAGAGTCGGGGCGGCTGGCGTCGCGAAGCTGGTGGTGGTGTTGGTGGCTTTGATGTTGTAGATCGGAGACCGAGCTGCTCTTCTGGTGGTCAGTCGGTTCTCTGTGGTATCCTCCACCACTGCTGCTGCTTATCGAGTAAGGTTGCTGATGTTGACGCGGTGTGATGTGGTGCGGTGAGGGTTTACTGGACGACCATGATGCAAGGTCGTCTTCGTCATGACCTAGATAATAAAAAGAGAGAAAGAAAAAGAACAGTTTACTGCAACTGTCATTGGGTAGGTTTAACACCCCTTTTTTAACTTTGAAAAGCACACCGCTAGACTGCCCCACTACAGGACAAATAGCAGAGAACTTTGAGGGTGACCTCATTAGGTGAGCACAACAGTACACTCCGCTGAAAGAGAAGTGTTCAAATAAAACTAAAGTCAAAACCAACATTCAGACTTGAACGCTAACCGTTCAGTAAACTTGTCACCCACGTTGGTTACAGATAGGGAACACAACATACTGTATTAACATAAATAAATATATTGTTGATTGTTTAAATACAATAAATATCATATTATACAGTCAAACCTACTCTAACAGCCACCTTATTGACCCCCCCCTCCCCTAACGACACACACACACACATAATTTGTTTTTGAAAAATTATATAATAGCAATGTTCAAGAAGTTCATCTGTTTCAGACAACCACTTTTCTTCTCGACAGAGGGTGGCCATCTTGGACAATTTGGACTACTACAATACTCGGCTTTCAAAGGTCAATCTATTATAACCTACAACCACACAACAGTGGCACTGTGGACAAAAAAATGAATAGTGCCGGAGGTGGGGGGAGAAGGGGAAGGAGAAGTTGGGGCGGGTGGGATGAGGAGGAGCGGGAGGAGGGGCAGGGAAGAAGCAAAGGGGGTGGGGGTTAGGAGAAGCGGGGGAGCGGGCAGATGGAGGAATAGCGGGGGGTGGGAGGAGGAGGAGGAGGAGCGTGTGGAGGGGAGGAAGGAGGGCTAAGGAGGAGCTGGAGCAGGAAGGGGGGGGGGGAGAGAAGAAATGAAGACTGTGTAGCACGACTTACATGCGTCAGCCTGTGAAGAGGGATAAGCTTTACTATTATTCCACGACGCTGGTACCATTCTGCCGCATCTGGAAGCGGACGATGGCGACATTTGCGAGGAGAAGGAATTGGAAGACTGCGAGCCGGCAAGATGATGTTGTTGTTGCTGATGTTGCTGGTGGTGCTGCTGGTGGTGTGGGTGGTGGTAGTGGCTGTAACAACCACTGTCACTGTCCGCCAAGTCGCCCACGCTACAGCTACTACTACTACTGCCGCCGTCGCTGAACACGCCGTAGTTGCTACTGCTGCCGTCGCTGTAGTCGGCGTAGTTGCTGCCCCTGTCTCTGACGTCACCGAATTCCGAGTACGCGGAAATATTTCTGTCTCTGACGTCACCGTATTCTGGGTAGGCAGAAATATTTCTGTCTCTGACGTTGACGTCACTTCCGTCATGAGAATACGATAACGTCGAGGCGGGAGCAGTTCTGCCGGTGACGCCACCGTAACCGGACTGGTAGCAAGCTCCACTCGGGTTGTCTCTACGGCCACTTCTGCCACCACTATCCCCGCCGACACTCGGGAACGCCGCCGGGGCCACGCGTTGCCTCTCCGGCTCCTGTACGACGTAGTCGTAGGTCCCGAAGCCGGTCGACTCCGCGTCGTCATCGTCGTCGTCTTGCACCACGAGTGGGAAGGGCATGGTCGTGCCCCCTCCCTCGCCGGACAGGTCGTCGTAAGGGTAGCCGTCGTCCGTCATCATCACCCCCTCCTCACCGCCGCCACCCGCCGGTACGGACAGCTGGCTCGTCGCTACCACCGCTCGCCTCTCCCCGCTCGCGTGGCGGCTCCTACTGGCGCCCTCACCGCCTCCCATTATATTCATCTCATCACCGAGGTAGTTCTCGCCGCCGTACGCAGCGCTCTTTTTCCGCGGCGTGTCGCCACCGCCAGCCACCAGCTCTTTGGAGTGGTTGTCCAGCGGCGGCGCGTCCAGGGAGGCGATGAAGTCGTTGATCTCGTTCACAATGTCGATGTAGTCGTTCGGGTACTCCCCCGACCCAGGAGCCGGGGACTTCGCCATGGCCGGGCGGAGCTCCAAATAAACACTCCTCTCTTAACTCTAAATAGTCAACCTGAGAGGTCGGCTCTCCAAACGGACGTCCACATCTCTGCTCTGTTTTCTTTTTGGGGTTTTTTTTTTCTCGTTTTTTTTCAACGCAACAAAAGCAACATAAAAGCGTCGAATCGTGAATTGACGTTCATTTCTTTCTTTTTCTCCATGAGAAATCACAACAGGCAAACAAATCGACCAGAAATCAATACCTTTGTCTTTGTCTTATACCGGGAGGGACCGGAGCGAGCGAGAGGAAGTGACTGACACACATAACCAACACGCCAGCACAGCTGCTGTGAGTCCAAGCAGGCGATAGAACAACACAAGTTCACTGAAATACGGTTACCCTTTTACTGCAAGAATAAATACGCACATAAGATATCGTTGGCCACTTCAAACCGCAAAAGCACTGCACCGCGGGAACCGTGACGGCAATTTACAAAAATGCTATCCTGAAGTAAACTACCAAATACAAATTAATCAATGAATATCCTTTTTTTAAAACAAAACATTCAAATGTAAAATAAAAAATAATTGAAAAATAATAAAACAAATAAGTAAATTAAATAACTGAATAAAAATAAATTAATAAATAAATTTTTTTAAAATAAAAGGGAGTGCTTATTTAG